AACAAAGTTCTTCTGCCAATCCTGGGCTCTTTTCTGAGCTCTTTGGTGATTAGCTCCCACCCGTGGCATCTCTGATGACCAAATTTGTTCTGAAAAAATTTGCAAGCCGCAAGCCTACAAACTACTACAATTGAGAGGATATCATCTACTTGCATACTTCATCCCCTCTGTAAAGATACAAAAAAAGACGGAGAAACTAAGAAAATTCTGTCTGAGCATGTAAGTCTAAAGGAAGAGGAGAAGGGAGAATTGAGGCAAGAGAGAGTCCGTTTAAAACGATGTATGAGGTTTTCAAAAGATTAATTGGAATTTTCTATTTAGTTAATCACTTAAATGCTTACAAGACTCGTCTACTTTAGGAGAGTGAAAACAACTGTTTGTTCTGTTGGAAATTTGGAGGTTGATAATTTTCCACATCCCCATGTGGAGGTTAGTGTCCTCGACATTGCACTGTACCTTCTCTTTTTGTAAATTATATAATAATAGTGGGAAAATTTGAGTCATTTTCTAAATGCGGCAAGCTCTAATTTCATGACAAACGAAAAGTAAAATAGAAAAGATGCATATGTGACTTGACTTCTTGTTATTTAGTGCTTCATGCATTTCATAAGTTCTTAGTTCTTGCTGCCTTTTAATTTTCCTACACTATTAATAATTGATTGTCTGTGTTAGGTTTGGTTGGCGTGGACAGTCACGGGACAGCATTGGGACAGTTTTATGCGTTGATGATGATGGGATCCTCCGAGTAGGGTTTCCTGGAGCATCCAGAGGATGGAAAGCTGATCCATCCGAAATGGAACGGGTTGAGGAGTTCAAGGTTGGAGACTGGGTTCGCATTCGCCCCACTCTTACATCTGCAAAGCACGGATTAGGGTCTGTGACTCCAGGAAGCATTGGTATAGTATATTGTATCAGACCAGACAGTAGTCTCTTAATTGAATTGAGCTATCTGCCAAATCCATGGCACTGTGAGCCAGAAGAGGTTGAGCATGTTGCTCCTTTTAGGGTAAGAAAAATGTAGATTGCCATTTCCTTTCATTTTTAGTAGTTGTTGTTATATAGTAGTGTCTAACAAATTGTTGATATTATTACAGATTGGTGATCAAGTTTGTGTGAAGCGATCTGTTGCGGAACCTAGATATGCTTGGGGTGGTGAGACGCATCATAGTGTTGGAAGAATAAGTGAGATAGAGAATGATGGTTTATTAATAATCGATATACCAAACCGACCCATACCGTGGCAGGCTGATCCATCTGACATGGAGAAGGTGGAAGATTTCAAGGTGGTTATTCTTGCTGTTTGCTGCCTTGAAGTTTATGCCTTCAACTATCTATTGCTGGATGCCTAACACATATTTTTTCTATTTTAATTTATCAATTTGCTGCAGGTTGGAGATTGGGTCAGAGTGAAAGCTTCAGTGTCTTCTCCAAAGTATGGATGGGATGATATTACAAGGAGTAGTATCGGGGTAATTCATAACCTGGAGGAGGACGGGGATATGGGTATTGCCTTTTGCTTCAGGAGTAAGCCTTTCTGTTGTTCTGTCACTGATGTGGAGAAGGTTCCCCCTTTTGAGGTGGGACAAGAGATTCATGTGATGCCATCTGTTACTCAGCCTCGGCTTGGATGGTCAAATGAATCACCAGCTTCTGTTGGGAAAATAGTGAGAATTGACATGGATGGTGCTCTAAATGTAAGCCTTCTAATTTAGTTTTTCATAAATCTAGACCAGATATTTTCTAGTTCTCTAACTGAACAAAAATTTTTGATCTGTCGTCCAAAACGATTGCTAAATAGGACCTTAGTTTAAGTAGAGGCATTTGCTTAAATCATACAAGTCGCATAGTGCTGTTCAAGTAGAGATAAGCATTCATTTTGTCTTGCAAAAGCCACTAAATGGAGCCATATAACATCACTTGTAAATAGCCATTCATAACAGTTATTACTGCTGTTAACAAGTTGCCATATAGCTGTGATCGCCCATAAGTTGAGGCATTTGGCATTATGACACAACTGCTTTGCTTATATCCTTGTAGACACTGACCAACCCCGGGGGGGGGGGGGTGTTGAAATGTTGGTCACTTTTGAGATAAGAAAAAGGAAGATTTGCAATGGCTAGGTTAACTGAATTTACCTCTAAATTACTAGACTGTGATTCTGCTATTCTTCACAGGTGAGAGTCACTGGTAGGCAGAGCTTGTGGAAAGTTTCTCCTGGAGATGCTGAACGACTTCCTGGATTTGAAGTTGGTGATTGGGTACGCTCAAAACCAAGCCTGGGAACCCGACCAAGTTATGACTGGAATAGTGTTGGAAAAGAAAGCATAGCTGTTGTGCATAGTGTACAGGATTCTGGATACTTGGAGTTGGCTTGCTGTTTTCGTAAAGGGAAGTGGATCACTCACTATACAGATGTTGAAAAGGTTCCTAGCTTTAAAGTTGGGCAATATGTTAGGTTCAGAACTGGTTTGGTCGAACCAAGATGGGGCTGGAGAGGAGCTCAACCTGAATCACGAGGTGTTATAACCAGTATTCATGCTGACGGAGAAGTGAGGGTGGCATTCTCTGGTTTGCCAGGTTTGTGGAGAGGAGATCCTGTGGACCTTGAGATTGAACACATGTTTGAAGTTGGAGAATGGGTAAAGTTGAAAGATGATGCTGATAACTGGAAATCTGTTGGACCAGGTAGTGTTGGTGTTGTACAAGGAATAGGTTATGAAGGTGATCTATGGGATGGAAACATTCATGTTGGCTTTTGTGGGGAACAAGAAAGGTGGGTAGGACCAACTTCATATCTCGAAAGAGTTGAGAAACTCATTGTTGGACAAAAGGTTAGAGTTAAACAAACTGTAAAGCAGCCAAGATTTGGATGGTCTGGACACACCCATGCTAGTATCGGAACCATATCAGCTATTGATGCTGATGGAAAACTTCGAATATACACCCCGGCAGGATCAAAAGCATGGATGCTGGATCCATCAGAAGTAGATTTGGTGGAAGAGGAAGAGCTCCGGATTGGAGACTGGGTCAAGGTTAGATCAACTGTTTCGACCCCAACCCACCAGTGGGGAGAAGTGAACCATTCAAGCCTAGGGGTTGTGCATCGTATGGAAGATGATGATCTGTGGGTGGCATTCTGTTTCACTGAGAGGCTATGGCTTTGCAAGGCATGGGAAATGGAAAGAGTTAGACCATTTAAAGTTGGGGATAAAGTACGGATCCGAGATGGATTGGTGTCCCCCCGGTGGGGATGGGGAATGGAGACACATGCCAGCAAGGGACAGGTGATTGGAGTAGATTCAAATGGTAAGCTAAGAATTAAGTTCCGATGGCGGGAAGGGAGGCCTTGGATAGGAGACCCTGCCGATATTGTTCTCGATGAGAATTGATCTAGGATCCATATTTACAACATTTGAGATTTGTACCATAGCTTGCTTTTCTCATTCAGCTCTTCAGCCTATTGTTTTTGGGGCCCAGACTTGTGCAAAGAAGTGGAGAACTACTCCTTGCTCCCACATGTGCTCTGAACTATAATAACTTAAGCTCTGGCTGTTGAAAAGCAGTTTTAACTGGATTTACTCTTGTGATAAACGGTTAGAAAAATGGGTGGAGTTGGGGGGGGGGGGGGAGAAAGGAAGGAAATTTGGCTTGCCATGCCAGAGATTATTGGAGATTCCAAGGCAGACACGGTGGAAATTTGCAATATGTCATTCATTCATAACTCATAAAGCATGTATTCCCAGATTTTGAGGTATATATACGTTACATATATTATTGTACAAATTCTCTTCTGATCGACTTAATTCATTTTTCTTCTCTTTCTCTCCATTTTTCTTTTTCACGCAATGCAGTCGCTTTATTTTATTTTATTTTATTATTTTCCAATGGAATGGTCCCATCTGCAACCGTTTTGTTTTTACTTGGAGTTGGCTTAATGTGAAGTGACCTGCTGTTCGTGACCCTGATCCTTGGGACACTCGTGTGTTGAGTCAAAAAGTGTTTTAGAAAAAGGAATAATTTGCCCCAACTGTTTTAGAATATTTTGTTATGCTGTTAGAACATCAAAGTTTAATCTCGTACCCCCACAACCATGTGCAAATGGCCCCCTCAGTTTTGACCCCCCCCCCCCAAAAAAAAAAAACTCTTGAAATTTTATTTTACCAAGTTATCGAGTTCCTGAGATAATTTTCTTGGCATTTAATACTCAATTATGTTACTGATAATGTCGGATTTTATTTCCAGCAAATAAACATCATCTGAATTGTTATTTGTATAAAGTTTTGGAAAAATTATAAATAAAGACTCCCAAATGTGTAAATTGTAATTTAGAACCCTAAATTTAGAAAATAACAAAGAAGGACCCAGTTTTATTTTTGTAAATATGAAATGTGGATGAAATGTCTAAAATGTTTTTTTAGTTAAATGACAAGTTGACTATAAAAAATGACAAGTTTATTTTAATGAATGACAATTTTAATAAACTAAATGTTTTATTTGTATAAAGTTTTTTTGGGTCAGGTATAAATATAAAGGTTTAGAGGGCTTGTTACTAAGAGAGATGTTTTCATATGATTCACGGTTCACAAAGATCGTGCATAATTTAGCCAAAATATAGGTAAAATCCTCTTATAAATTAATACTATAGTTTTGGAATAAATTAAAATAGGGTAACCATAGGTAAGAATTACATGAATTCTTTTCCAGAGCAGCAGCACGAGATAAACCCATGTAATGGTGAAAATCAGGTAGGACTAAGAATTACTTGAACTAGTATGTCAATATATATAAACTCAAGAAGTATGGAATGCAATTTAATACTTAGATTAATCCAAAGACTTAAAACAATAATCATGTAATTATAATTATTCTACAAGTATTATAAGAAAACCCTACGTATCTCATAAATGATGAAAAACTAATCAAATTTATGATTTGCCATCAAGTTTTTCAATAAAAAACATGTTTCTAAACTTCTGCTCAGGCCATGACAACTAATCAAATTTATGATTCATCATTCCAAAAATATTCTTTCACATATTATATTTTCTTATTGAATAATCTGATAGCAACCATCTAAAATATTTTATTCTAGTTTTGAACTCAAGGAAAATTGTCCCTTGCGCGTCAACCCACACTCATGACATTTGCAGAAACAATCCAAAGCATCCCTCATCCATGCATGTCGACAGCTCCCAAATGCTTCTGATAGAGACAGCCAACTCCTATTTCTAAACTTCTGCTCAGGCCATGAATGAAGCTCTTCCTTGACAAACAATGCAAACATTGCTGCTTTGCACAATCCTTCTGGATTAAACTCATCTTGGTGAGTCTTACTCCTAAACTCAAAGTACCCAAGAAAATCCTGAAACCGTATAATACCCGATTAAAGAAAATTAAGAAACAAATGAATGAATACTTCAACAATTTTCTGTATTTAACATGTAAATTCTTTTCATTTTTAGAAGAGACAATCCCCTCCCTGATGGGAAAAATTTCATTCTTATTCCATTTTTAAAGTACATTAATTTTAGATTTGAAAAAAAAAGCATTAAATTCTTGAATAATTAAAATCACAAAAATAGAATTGAAGTAGGTGGAAGATTAGGAAAATTCACCATTACGTCTCCTCGAACTCCTGCTTCTTCAATTGATTCTCTTATAGCTGCCTCCTCAACAGTTTCATCGTTCTCCCAACCTCCCTTTGATGGAAATAACATCAGAAAAAGCAAAACATATGAGGAGACTGCCGAAGTTCAACAAAGTTGATCACAACCAAAATAACCAAAATAATTATGACTTGGTATATTTTTAGGCACCTCGTAGATTTTTGGTATACCAACTTGCATAGGTCAATTTCGGCAAAGGATTAAAAGCAAAAGACAGCAATCTTATTTATTTGATGCACCTTTTTTATCATAAAAAATTTCTCGGAGATAGCTGACTTCTGTTTTAGATTTTATATCAAAGATTGTCTATCAATTTTCTAGCTTTTTAAAACCAGCAGCCAATGGAGAACCTTAAGCTCTACACACTACTTCATTCAAGATAAGCCAAAAACCTATAGGAATGAGCTACAAAAGTATACATCGTTAGTCACAGCTGTGTTGCTGTTACCCTCACATTTATATGAACGCCTTGAATTAATGTTCAGTGTATGATTTCCTTTTCTCAACAAGTTCCTAAGATTAATATTAAATGGCACAAGAATTGAAAAATACAGTTTTCATTTCCATGTATACACTGAAAACAGAAAAATTCGAAACACAATAGACTGTAAGTATTTTTTAAGCTTTACAATTTTGGCATAAGTATTGTAGCTATGCAATAGTGTACAGAAGGAAGTTGACACAGTTATGTCACCACTGCCTCACGCACAATAAGTTACGGTTTTAAACTATCTATAAAATAAACATCTCGATATCAATAAATATGAGACCTTCAATTAAAAAAAAAATTAATTACTGGAAGTCTGACACATTAGAACTCTTTATGCCTGCTCCTCAAAACAAATACATCCATCAGCAAAAAGTTCATCATATATCAAACACTAGTTGTAGTTAACTTGTGGGCAAAAAAAAAAAAAAAAGGAAGGCTAGACACTGTGGATCAGCTTAAAAAAAGCACTGAAGCACTTTACGAGATAAAACTTTTCTTACATAAAAACCTTGTATAGCACAAAATCAATTATCCACAACTAATTCAAAATGGCACTAAGATAAATATAAAAATGAACATTTTAACATTCATACCTTTGGAAACAAAAGGCCTGGTCCACTAGGTGAGCTAATCATAAGGACTTCGACAGTCTTCTCGGAATTAGAATCACAAACATCAGAACTTCTATACCTAAATGGAACACACCTGCAACAATTGGAAATGGCTGTAACATTATCATCGGAAGATCAAGACCACACATGGATATAGCTAACACAATCATATCAAAGTTCTCTTAATCGTCATGCAATTAACAGCCAAAGAATATGGTTGACATGGTTTTAGTTGCTCCTTGCTTCAACTAAGACATGCAAGGAATGTCACCACCAGCTATGTCCATCCTTTCCCTCTGTTGTTGCCTTCCACTTTTTGCCCCCAAAATATTCACAATTTTGCCAGCTCAAAATTGAGAAAGACTATAAATTGGTTGCAACAAATGATCTATTAATGCATATAAACTGAGTTACTTGATTAATAATTTTGGAGAAAGAGAAATTAAAGGTTTCTCTCAATTTTTCCCAAAAAAAAAAAGGGAAAAAAATAACAAAATAACAAAATAAATAATATATCAAATGACATGACAAGTCAATGTGATGATCTAACGACTCCATCCCCATCAAACGCCATGCATGCAAGTTTGCTTGGATTATATCACTATAAGGAAAAGGAGGAAGAGAACAAAGAAATTCCACTCAAAATTTGCCTGATGACAGCAAAATTCATGTCTGAAAGCCAACAAGACTAATAGAAATTCAAGAGAAGCAAAATTCAAAAATTACAATTGAACACTAGAGTGCTTTTGCAGAATTGTTGATAAATTAAACTACCATGCACTACACAGGGCGAAGTGCATGCTAACAATTTCCAGAATTCTGTTCTGTGTATCACCGACATGCAAAAACTTACTAAACTGCAGAGAGTTACGTCAAATCCTGACCTCTGTATAAACTAATTTGTTTAATAAAAGAACCCACACACAAAATAAAGCACAAAATTCAACGTAACCGGTTCAGCCCAAGTGTGTTCTCAAAAACCTCAAAACAGGAAAATATCACATCAGATTGACAAAACCGTATAACATTCTTCCAAGCCCCAAAATTCAAAGACCCAAAAATATACTTTTACGTTGACTGATTAATTAGTTCTGCATCTGTAATGGTGAGACAAAGCATCCATTTTACCATGATTAAGCAAGGTAAATTTAACTCCGAAATCCAAAAAAGCCTCTGTTTTGAGAATTTACATTGGAAAAATTTCACTTTTTGCCTCAGTTTGGAATTATGTGAGGATCCCAACTACGTTAATTGCATTAATTAATTTTGACGTAACGAAAAGAGAACAAAGAAACGACAAGGCATGACTGCTAAGTAGGCCTGCTCATAAAAAATGAAGAAATTAATTGGCTAAAACAGTCCTCGACCCACAATCATAGGAGCAAATAGAAAATTCAATAACTCAATGCGTCCGGTCAACCCCAAGGTCCTTGATAATCCTATTCCTTCTGTATGGGAAGGATGATTTGAATTTTGAAATACTAGGTAAGAGTAATCATCCGGAAAATAGAAAATTTAGTCAATATACTACTATAAACCGTGCAAGTTGCAACCCAACAACACCACAAGACTCAGAAAAAAGAGAAGAATAGAAACCAAAAAACAAGATGTAGAAATCAACTATTAATAAAATAAAAACTCAACCACAATGTGATGAGCCAGATTCTAATTTCTTAACATGAAAGGTACGTTTATACATATAGCACCTCGGCCTGATAATGACATTTCTCCCGTACATCATCCAACAAAGCAACATTTCAAAAAGAAAATATACACAAAAAAAAAATCATCATAATACCCACTAAATGCTCACGAATGGCATATCAAGAAATTGGGTGGGAAAAAACATACCCGGCGACAAGGCGATATCCGTTCTCATACCGCTGCTTAAGCCGACCCGTACGGGCCACCAAATCAGACATAATAAAGACCAAAACCAATACCAATCCCAGTCTTTGGTATTCACGAATCCGAAGGGCTCTTCACCATTGGCAATCCGATCAAACGAATCCGACAGTGCTCAAGTTCGCACTAGAAAACCATTCCACAATGCCGCATATCTTTTCAGCGATAGTAACCGAACGCAACGAAGCATCAGCCAATGGCTCCTCGAGAATGGTTGATTAGGGTTTTCGTTCAGTTTACAGGACCAAAAAGAAGAGAGACAAGGAGCGAACTGAAACGAATGCGAGAAAGGAAGTACGGAGCGAGGGAAGGGGAGGAGAGAGGCGCTCAGAACGGAACGGACGGTGGGGTCCGTCAAAGCTGACGTGGAAATGTGGGGCCGTCATAAGTTCGGTACTAAAGTGTTAGAAGCGAGGCTAAATGTGCAGAAACGAACAAATGGGGTGGAGACGCGTGGCATATTTGAATTTAAAAGGAACGTGATTGGTTGGGTTTGCGGCGATGTTTGATAGTCGTCGCTGGTGATGTTGATGAGGAAGAGGACATAGAAAGGAGGTTTGAGTCTGACGTGGATGTATTTGGTTTTCAGTTATCATGTACGGGAAGGGTGGGGATGCAATATGGGAGAAGATCTTGTGGGCCCTCATTTTCTTTGGATCCAACAGCAAAACAACCTAAAAATATTACATCTCAAATTAAAAATTTCCACAAAAATACTTTTCTGTTTCTTAATATATGATCTAATTATTAAGTTAATTTTAATCTTAAATATAAGACTTATTTATCATATTTATTATTTTTTTCTAAATTATTCTTATTGATACTCCCTTAACCATAATCAAATAAAAGAAGGAGGGAAGATATTAAGAAAGATGATTATGGTGTTTTAGAAAAAATATATCATATTTCTTACAATTAACTAACTTACCTAACTTCTCTAATCAAATCAAATTAATTAAATATGTCTTATATTAAAGACCAGAGGAGTATATTGTTATCTTCTTATTATAGTTAAAATAAAAATGTAAGAAATACAACTAATTTGAGATTCAGTATTTTTATGTTCTTTTTGTGAGATTTTCGGAAATGAGTTTTTTTAATAGTAAAAAAATATAGCAAAAATATGATTTAAAAACAAAATATATAATTTCTCTATTTTTTTTTGTTCACAGGTTTCATTGGAGGAAATTTTATTAGACACTGTTCCTTAGTATTTTTACAAAAAATTATCATATCAAATTCAATTATCATCGAACCTAAATAAGATGGTTGTCTAAAAAAATTCGTTTATAATGTGAGACATTATGTTTTTACTCATCATAGCCTTTGAATGTGGTACTCAATTCAAACAATGTTATTTTAGTTTACTACTTCTCCGGTTCTTAATATAAGGCCCATTTAACTAATTTAATTAGATTAAAGAAGTTAGGTAAGTTAGTTAATTATAAAAAATATGACACATTTTTCCTAAAACATCATAATCATCTTTCTTAATACCCCATCTCCCTCTTCTACTTGATTATGGTTGATGGAGTATCCATGAGGGTAATTTAGAAAAAATTGATAAACATGAGAAATGTATCTTATATTTAGGACTAAAACCAACTTAATAATTGGGGTCTTATATTAAAGATCAAAGGAGTACATAGTAATTAGTTTTGCAAATAATATTGACAAAGAATTCAAAAATAATATATAAAAATTTGAAGACCAAAAGTTTTGTTTTAATCATATTTTTTCAATATGTGCTATTCAAGGTCAAATGACAAAACAAAACAGGAAAAAAAAAACCTATCTTCATCTGTCTTTACAAGTCCGAGAGCTGAGAATATAATTTTTTTAATAAATGAGAATATAAGTTAAAATGGATTTATTTAGGTTCATTCGAGTCTTTTCTGGTGAGGTTGGACTGCCAAAAAAGCAACTAAAAAAAAAAAACCTTTTTCTTTAGCCAGTATCTTAACCCACAACTTGAATAAAACAACCCATATAGATTATCAGTCGACTGATTTGACCCGTATTTTTAAAAATCAATCTTATTTGTCTAGACATGAAGAATCAGCTTAAAAATGCTACTTCTTTATCATATTGTAGGAGAAAATTAAATTTTTATAGGACTCACAATTATAAACTCAAGATAAACTTATATATTTATCTTGTATACTATAAACTTATATATTTGCTGAATAAAAGCAAATGAAATATTCAATATATGTGTTAAAAATGGGTCATATGACCCATGGATTATATTTAAGGCTGACAATTTTTTGGGAAATAGCCCAAATAACCCATAATTTGGGTTGGATTGGAAAAATACTAATTCATTGGAGAAAGGATTAACTCAACTAACACAATTTTACACTGAATCGATCCAGCCCATACGGTTTGGGTATGTTTACATTTCCCCTTCTAAGCTGGATGCAGTTTACTTAACTAAATTAAAAAAAAGGAATTATATTAAATTTTTTTTAGCAAAGGAATTATGTTAAATTTGAACTGTCCAAATTGTGCTCTTGAATCCACCCCCACGGAAAATAATGCATTAAATTAAACCAACTCAAAAACACACCAAATATTTCCAAAAAAAAATTATAACAAGTTTTCTTTTTATTAATTTGTTGATAAAAAAGGCACAAAAATGAAAGTTTTAATCTCCCACACTACAATGAAACACACATTTATTTGTGGCGATGAAATGCAAGGATATGTTGGGAGAGTCAAAATCATTTTAAAGCATAAGAAGTTATTGCATTGCAAACCGGGAAAAAAAAGCAAAACAAAACAAAACAAAACAGAGAAACGTACGCATCATCAATTATCAGTTATTACTTCAAAAATCATACATATGCCAAACAGCTAAACAATGCATCATTCTTTCCATTGGATTCAATTTAATAGTAAATGGATAAACACGTTTCTCAATATTACACACACAAACTTCTGAACTGGGAAATAAAAGTATGACGATATTACAAAGTCAATGACAGTGTTAATTTTTGGGAAATAAAAGCATGTGAATAAGCACAACTGAAAAAAAGAAAATTGCAAAAGTAGACATGGCGCGGGCGCGCACGCTAAAATCCAAAAGGCCTATATTTTGCAGCAATTGTTTCCCAACATTGATCTCGTTGTTCCAGAATTTCTTGGCATTCCTGGAGAAGTTGAGAATGAAGTTCCCTAGTATTTGCATGCTCTTGCTGTGCAATGTCAAAATGGGATTGAGCTGCCTCTAACTCTTTCTGAGCCATTTCTGCTAATTGTGCAACTTTTGCAAGTTCTGCCTTTTTTCTCTGGAGCTTATTGCCCAGATCCTTTAGAACTTGTTGCATGGGCTGAACTTCAGATCCATCGTAACTGAAAACCTTGATTCTGACAGACTGAAGCCAATCTTTGTCAAAGCCTAGAACAGAAGCATCATTTAGATATTTTGCCAACAATCTGTTGTCTGCCTCAGTGATAGTGAAGGGGTTCCTGGTTGCCAAAATGTTCAAGATATTTAGCAGAACCCTGTAAGAGAAGCACAACAACTCAGTGCTTCGGTACTCTGAAGAAAGGTGTAGGTGTGGGTGACTTTTGAATGCCTCTGCCAGCATGGAACTCTCAGCACCCTCTAGTTTCATCATATCAACTATCTCTTTCACCCCAGGAACACTCAAAGCATTGTTGGCGTCATAAAAAGAAGGTTCAATCCCTAATAAGCATTAGAAAATAATGAGATATAATAAAAGCAGGGGTTAAGGTGCATCCGGTATTTGAAGTATTTTCTCAGGTACATCCAGTTTTCAATATTTGCCAATACCTTGAAGTATGAAATCTATCCAAAATTTGAAAATGCAAGAAGGGAAAGTTAATAAAGGAACATAGCATAGGAACTCACCATAAGTGGACATGGAAGGAGTAGATGAAGGAATTTGCCTGGGACTTGCTGGTAAGGGTGGCACAGAAGGTTCACCTAAAATAAATCAAATATATTAAAATGTAGTGCTAACCAAAGGTTGAGATATTTCATTTAAAGAAAGGAATAGGTACCATGAAGAGAAGTCTCGTGCTCTTTTCTTGACGAAGAATCCTCTGCCTTCATTCTACTTCTCTGTCTCCTGGTAGCTATTAAGCCACCTATAAAAAAACCCAAGATACAAAAGTAATATTCAAATTAAAGGAGCTACAAATTTTGAAATTAAGGCACTAAGATCTTACCTTCCTCTTCCTCTTCCTCTTCAAAAATTTCAATATTTTTGCTGGTGATGCCTCCAACCGAAAGGACATCGAATCTTGGACTCATAGGAACAGGTACCTTCTGCTGAAAATGATGGACACATTATAATACCAACGACAAATTCATTAAATGTTTAAATGATTGCAAGAACCCCACCGTTTTAGAAGTTAGGGAGCTTGGACGTATGGTCTCTGTTGAAATACATTCTTCAGGTTTTGATTCAACAATCTGCACACCATCAAATATATTTATGTTGGATTTTTGTATAATATGAAAGTATTAGGAAATCAGTCTTCAGTGAAATGTTAATATTTGTTGAATTATAAGATCGTATGCCAACTCTGGTTTTTGGAAGTGACTGGGGATCCATCTTCATCGTTTCTTTTTCCTCATCCCTGCCTACCACCTAAAAATGAAAAAGAGAGACATATAAATCAGCTCATCTAGCATAACTCTCTGTGTGTGTGTGTGTGTTTGTGTGCATATATATGTGTGTGTGTGTGTGTGTGCATACATCTTGTATGAGAAAGAACTAAAGTTTCATCTTTGAATATGCATCTCGTGAAAAAGAAACATAAGTTGTTGGCATCGTGTTTATTGGTTCTAAATCTGTTATTTGATTTGTTGTTTCAATTGTATTTGGATTGAGATCTTCAGTAACATATGAATACCCTACTTTTTTATTAGTCTACATAAAACAAAATGATAAATCAGTAATTATATTTCTTTATTCAAGAAATATTTTTGCTACGAGCATTCCAAGGAATTTTAAATTAGATGATGAATTTGCCATTTTTTATGTATTTCGAACAGGATGCTCTTTACCAACTTATTTTCTTATTTCTTGAATACCCTGACAGACAAAAGCGCCAAAAAAAAAAAAATTTCTGGCTAGTTAATGTTGAATTTGTAGATAAATGAATACATATACAAATGAATTTTAATTCGTCTTTACTGAAAAACATTAGGATCAAAAGATGGCTGTCTCTTTATAAACATGCCAAATACCTGATATTCTCATATAATCAAATACTATCAAATATACCTTTGTCGATTTTGATGTGCCATTTGTGGGTTGTTGTGGATCCATCATAGTTTTTCCATTTTTCATTCCTTTGCCAACGAATTCTTCATTCTGCATAAAGATGAATAAGAAACATGCTTAAGTTCTAGACATGTCCTGTATATTTCTATACGTCCATAATGGAAATGATAATATTTTCACTTTTGGTGATGCTTTACACAAATATGTTATCCGTAGAAAACACTTAATAGTTAACCTAATTTTTTTTATTATCCCATATTAAAAAAAAAGGTAAATTAGTCTTCAAAAATTTTTCCTTGCTTCTTTAGAACGCTTACATATAATGATGCATGTGATGTGGCAGTAGAAATAAAAAATGATGAGCACTATATATGTTGAATTCATCGTGTTTGTGTGTCTGATAGATCCACACAAAAAATTATGCATTCCTCCTTCACTTATCTTTCCACAAAATTCCTAATATTCTCAAGAAAATAACATTAGGACATACCTTTGTGATGTCTGGTGCACCAACTATTGATTGTTGTGGATTCTTAATTATTTCTTTATTTTTCATCAATTTTCTTCCAACCAACTCATCCTACGTACATATATAAAGATTAATTAGCAAAGGGTTTAATTTGTAGTAGACAACCTATCTATATTAGAAAGAGCAACAATATTTAAATTTTTTAAACAAAAATTTTGTAGCAAATATTTATAACTTATTTGATTGATTATATATTTATTTAAAGAATTAATCAAATTTCCATTCAATTTTTTTTACGGTTATATTAACTAAATTACCTAATTTTGTGTCACGGTATGATAAAAACATTAAACAAATAACTGCTTAAAAAATAAAAAAAAATTAAGCTAAAGAAAAAATTCTTAAATTTTTTGAAGTAGTTTTAGCCAAAATTTAGGGATGAAGGGTAAATCAGTAAATAAAAAGCAGTTCCACATAAATTTTAATTAAAAAAGTAATTTTTTTAAAAAAATATTCTTAACAACATTAACGGTTTGGAGTTAAGTATATATTTTCAAACTAGAAGGAATGTCTGTGTAATTAGAACAAAATGTAAAGGGTTTGGGGTATTTTGCCCTTCTTTATTTTTCAACACCTTTTTTTTTTTTACGAGATCAACACTTTTTTTTTCCAACCAACTCATCCTACTTACATATATAAAGATTAATATGCAAAGGGCTTAATTTGTAATAAACAATCTATCTATATTAGAGAGCAACAATAATCTCACCTCTGGTGAAATAGTTGGGGATTGTTCTGCTTCCAAGCCTCGTTTCTCTTTGACGTCTCCCATATTTACATGCGAGGAAAGCTGTTCTGGAACCTGAGGAGGAGTTGTAGTTTCTGCATAAGAGATTTCCAATGTTATATTAAAATTAACGTAATAATATTTAATTTTGAAGAATAACTTCTCTAAATGCATACCGTAGAAAGAAAATCGAGGACAATCATTCACTTCAGAGGATTCTTCCAGATTTCGAAAATCAACTTCATTACAGATACTGACGAGGCTTGGAAGCTTTTCAAGGGTTAGATATTTAATTTTGGGAAGCACTTCCATCATCCCCATCTCTTTTGTCTCATCTTGTCTGATCAATATATGCTCAAGGTTGGAAGATTCTTTTATACTCAAAACTTGTAAATCTGGAAGGATACCAGAAACTGTGATTGAGAACAAGTATCTCAACTTGTCACAACCTTCAACCGTCAGATCAGATAGGGTTGGAAAGCATGGTTCACGACACAAATGATCATCATCAGCATTTTCCTCAATGATGTGAGTTAACTCCTTGCATGATGATATCGTCAGCCCCTCCAAGTTCGGTAGGCTCTTCAGTATAGAGTTCGAGAAGATAACTTTAAGCTTGTTGCATCCTTTGATGTCCAATTCTGAAATGTTGTTGAGGCTAAGCATATATTTGGGACCCACACATATATTCTTCAACTCACTTAAACTTTCCAACACCAACCAATCTAAGGTTGATGTCAGTGGTTCACGTCCTTCCCCTTTTTCCCCTGTGTCCATATGTATTAAATTGAAAATCTCCTCTATTTTAGATTCACGAAATACAATCATCTCTACAGATTGCAAGAGCATCTGCGCTGCCTGTAATATCATATTTAAATTATAAATAGCAATTAACGTTAATATATCAAAATTGACTTATCAGTTGAAAAGAAAATTACAAAACACCAAAAGAAAACGTTGAACAAAGCCATACCTGTGCAGGGGTGGAATCCTGTTGTCCTCCAAGTGCATGAACCGTGAAATCAGTAAAAGATGTAATATTAAACTCTGGAGCCACTTCCAAATAAAATGATTTTAGAGAAGATAGGCCTCTCAAGTAATAATTTTTTGGATAAATGCTCACGAGCCTTGGTAGGGATTCAAAATTTAACCATTTCAGAACAGGGAAATCAATGTAAGTTTGGATATTTTGATTCTCATGATGGCTTGTTCCAAACACATATTTCAACTCAGAAGCATTCCAAATAGATAGAGATTTCAGATGTGAGGGTGATCTGAATGCATATGCTGGAAATAGATATTCCAGTGCATCACAATTTGAAACCCTTAACACTTTCAACTTTGGAAAGATGGATCTGTGATTCATGAGAGCTCCAACTTCTCCCTCATCCGCCACAATGTACTTTAGTTGCTCACATCTTTCAATTGTCAAATCTTCCCACAGAACCATGGCGGCCATTGGTAGCGTTAACAATGTCTTTGAGTTGGAAAAATTCAAGAGAGTCATCTTTTTAATATTATTCAATGATTGTATTGAAAGGCACCGAGTTGCTCGAATAGGAGGCATCACATTTTTAGATGTATCTAATTCCTACATACAACAATAAAAACAAATATTAATGTACAGGAAAAATAACTTATGGAATACTCGAATCAACTATTAACTTTATATATTAACTTTAATTTATTAATAGTTGTTCTAATTTTTGTAATAGTTTTAAGAAAAAAACTGTTGCGTTTAAAACGATATTTACAAAATAAAAAGTTATGGCTAGATTGGAATGTACTTTACCTCAATTTTCATCGATAAAAAAAATACAAAAAATAAACTTTTTTAAATTTGACGTATGTGAAAGCTACTTCATTTAATGTGATGACTTAAAATTTATATTTACTTCTCTCTTTTTTTCTTCCAATTCTTTCGTAGAGCAAAATAAACTTTGTCGAGTTATACAATTAATCTAAAAGCTTAACATATTTGAAGATTCAAAAATAATTTTTTTTATCAATCAAAGTCTCAATTTTTAGTAGCAATTCCCAAATATATAAAATAAATAATATTAAGTTAAATGGAGCATTAAGTACCTTGATGGTTTCCTTGTTTGGTTGTCCTTCTAGGTAAACCAGTAAATCATCAGTAAAAGATTCAATGTTACGATTCTCCAAAGTAGCATCCTTTAGAGAAGGCCACGCCAAGTTATAATTCATTGCACAAATGCTGATGAGCTTTGGTACATCTTCAAGGTAGAGTAACACTAACTTTGGCAGATCAAAGTGAAGATGATTTTGATTTGAGTGGTGATCCACATGATGGTATTTTCCAAGAACATATTTTAACTCAGGAGCATTCAGAATTATCAAAGACTTCAAATTTTGAAGTCCTATAGATATTGAGGATGGAAAGAAAAATTGCAAGTCCTTGCACTCCAAGATCTCTAGTTTCTCTAACTTTGGAAAAACAGAGTGGCAACTCATCATCATCTTATCATTATAATTATCTTCCTCCATTGTTATCAAGTGTTTCAACCCATCACATCCTTCAACTATCAGTTCTTCCCATAATATCGACGAGGCTATGGATAAAGTAAATAATGATACCGAATTTAAAGACACTTGTGCCAATTTCAACTTCTTGATATGATCAAGATTGAAATATAGTTGTCTTAGAATGATTCCAGAAGTTTCAAACCATGTCTTGGATGCAAATGATGATCCCTACAAATAGAAACCGTTGCTCAAATACCAGACCACATATAACAGTTTGCTATTTAAATATTTAATGGAATGCTATATCCACATCGATGATGAATATTGTAAATTTTGAATCCAGAGTAGTGATATTTGAATCAAATATTTTTAACACTCCTACCTTATTTTGTTTAGTTTTTATGAATTGTTTTATCACTATTATATTAATTGAACATATCAATTAAATATCAGAGAAAGTTAAACAAAAATAGGGAACAATAAGAGCAACACACCTGTTGTGTTCTGTCATTTTGAACTCTGTCCTTACACACGGCGATGTTGGTCTCTTCACTTGATTTATGCTCAAAACAACACATTTGAGCCCAAGAAAATGCAGATGTCTTTGTTCTCGAAATTAGAGGTGATGGCCTTTGCATTGACAAAGACATGGATTTATGATATTCTCCAAAAATGCTGATGAAACTTGGCACTTGAGAAAGTTCCATTTTCTTCAGTGAGGGCAACATAGTATGGTCTTCTTTTTGGAACTTATCAGATATATATCTCAACTGCTCACAATTACTTATCGTTATCTCTTCCAAGGATGCAAGAGCTCCACCAAAAAGAACTGGCAAGATTATTTGTAATCTTCCACATCGTTTAATTTGAAGAGTTCTTAATTTTGGGAACAGTGACTCATAACTCTTCTCGTCATTATCATCACCCACTATTTCTCCTTCCGAGCTCTTATATGCTATGATGTGTTCTAGGGAATCACAATCCTCAATACTTAGTGTTTCCAATTGCGTGAGACTTTGAGCGGTGAATGATTGAAAAATTGATGTCAATTTTGGACAAGCATTCAATTCCATGACCTTAAGATGACATAGGCTCAACTTGCCATCAAATAATATATTTCTCAATTTCTGGCACTTCGTCAACCTCATAGTCTCTAATTGCTCTAGAAAGCCAGACGGCAAAGAACCTCGATATAAATCTTCAACATCCATCTGTTCGAGATTTAGTTCAGCTAACTTGGAAAAAGCAATCAAATTAGTTTCATGATTCTTACTCTCTATGAGGCACTGTATGTCAGGCCAAGAAGACAAATGAAGAACAATTAAATCATTCATGCCTCCTTCTTCCACTGGAACAATATCTGGGACAAGATTTTTCCATCTTGTTTCTGTATACCATCCTAACTTAAGAAACTCGGCCATTCGTACAAATTGCTTGAATGTTGCCACTGAAATTAGATTCTGCAAATTACGTGGGTTAAACCACCTTGACATGAAACCATACTTTTCTATTGCTGAACTCGTTTCAAGATCCCACCGAGATATTTTATATCTCTCTAATGTAGGGGGAGATAAATTTTCAAAAACAACACATGCTTCTTCTATGTCAAACTGATTTCCTACAAAGCTCAATTCTTCCAGTTGCGAGCATCTTTCAACCACTTCAAATGGATTGTTCTTTTCAATTTCACATTCATCTACCTCCAACAACCTCAACTTGTTTAGGTTTAAAATTTCTTTTGGTAGCTCAATGATTGAACAATCAAATAACCAAAGACTCTCAAGCCTATGTAAGTTTCCTAGCAAGGAGATGTCGCCTAATTTCAAATTCAATAGGTTGAGAGTCCGAACATCCTTTAATGATTGAAATGAATATATTAGTGTTGGAACTGAAATTTGTTCATCACTCGCTAAATACAAAACTTTCAGCCTCGTCATCTCTACAAAAAATGTATCAGGTACTTCCAAATTCTTTGAACCACCTAGAAATATCATTAAAATTTCTAGGTTCTTTCCATCGAAGTCACCAGGAAAACCATCATTCTTCCAAACCAAATACCGCAAGTTCTGTTTTATAGGCTTTTTAAGATCAGTGATCCATTGAATATCTTTCTCTCTTATCCATAAAGCTACTTCACGAACCAAATCATGCATCTTCACGCATTCTTCATTGTCAATCAACAATAAGGAAGAATCTATTAGTTCCAGTATAGCTTCAAGCCCTTTGCTTCTTACTGAATGGTACCTGTCCACCTCTCCAAAAAGACCCAATCCCATAGCAAATTTGCTTAAAATTTGTATAGAAATTTGAAAATCTTCTGGGAACAAAGAAGATATGACAAATATTTCTTTGGCCTTTTCATTCTTCAAGTTATCATAGCTTAACTTCAGGCATTTATAAGCCTCTGTCAAACTTTGATTAACATCATGGTATTCCAAAGTTTTCAGAGCATCCTCCCAAGCAATTAATGGTCGATTTTTTAATGCTCTTGCTATTGTTACAATTGCAATTGGCACTCCTCCACATTTCTTCACAATTTTTTCCGCCACAACCCTCAAACCACTAGAAGAACCCTTAATGCCAGTATGTGCAAGGAAAAGATCCAATGCATCTTTATCAGTCAATATCTGAATTTGAATAATTTTTTGGCAATTCATTAATGCACAAACATGTGGGTTACGTGTGGTTATTAATACACTACAATTCTTGTATCGGTGACTAGATGGGATCCCCAACTTTTGTATAAGATCAAGCTCTTCCCATACATCATCTAGGATTATAAGAAGCTTCTTTTCCATATTAGTGATTTTGAACCATATTTTCTTTGAGTGTTCTTCTTCCTTCCCTTCCTTTAATGGTAAATCAAGTTGTTTTGCCAAATCATGTTGAATCCTTTTGAAATCCGGAGGCTGGGAGACAACAAGAAAGATGACTTTGTCAAATTTGGATCCTTCGAGATCATCAGCCACTTGTAATGCCATTGAGGTTTTGCCTGTTCCCCCAATGCCATGCAATCCAATCATATTGCAATTTTCATCTTCCAATACCTTTTTGAGATCTTGAAACTGTGACTTTCTGCTCTCAAAATCCATGAAATCCTGTAAAGAGTGGTATTTTATGCTGGGAAGATCAGCTGCACCTGCCACTATGTCAAAGTTGTATCTTTCCAGAAGTTTTTCAATCTGTTGTGTCTTCTCTTCCAAGTCTTTGCCTTTCCGATATTGTCGCCAGCAATTAAGACACTTATCATTAAAACATTTCTCTTTTGTAGTGTCATAGTCAATGAGACTTATAGCTTCCCCTCTCCATTGTTGTGCTTCATATGTAACACTAGAAACACCTCTGGCTTTTTCTATAATTCTATTTACATCTCGAAGTTTTGCTTCGAGTTCTTCCTTTTTCTTATCAAATGTTGCAGCATAACTGCTGAAACAACATAAATATTGAACTTCACCTTTCACAAGATTCACTAAATTTTGGGCCTCATTCTTTGCAATTTCCACACAGATGCCCCCCATCTAACAAGGATATATATAAGGTCATTATCAAATCTTCTAGTCTACGGTTTTATTTAAGAATAATGATTAAATCTTAAAGTCATGGCTATAATATAATACTCCTCCGGTCCTTAATATAGGACCCAATTGTTGAATTAGTTTTGGTCCTAAATATAAGATCCATTTCTCATATTTATCAATTTTCTCTAAATTACCCCTATAGAGACTCCCTCAACCATAATTAAGTAGTAGAAGAAGAGGAGGTATTAAGAAAGATGATTATGGCATTTTAGGAAAAACATGTAACATTTCTTATAATTAACTAACTTACCTAACATCATTAATCTAATCAAATTAGTTAAATGGGTCTTATATTAAGGACCGGAGGAGTAATCTATAATCTTAACGAACATACAAATAAGAGGTGAGAAGACTATTAAATGATGCTGCAAGTCATATATTAGAACTCGATAATTGTTCATGTGAATGTGACTTTCTTTGAGAACCAGTCATGGGACTCGGAAGTACCAATTTATGGGGAGAACATGGAGAATAACAATAACATCGAAATAAGTGAACAAGGCCTTATTTCTTTCCTCGTCGCAAATGCATATATGAGATTTGAGAACTTCTCTGTTCATGAATTAAAACCGCTAAAACTTGACTTGAACTTGAAAAGAATTCACAAGAAACTGAAATGAATAGCCATGAAACCAAAAAGAATAATGTAACTAGAGAAAACTAAGCGCGTGTCTAGGATCTTATGGTCCTTCCTAGAAAAAGAAGGATTTCTCATAGACGTTGCAATAGCTAGAATCAACCTCAATCGTGAAGAATCCTTCATATATAAGTCCTGAATAGAATTGATGATCAATATGATACACCTACTCCAAATTCTTAGTAGTCGAGCAACATTGTTGATGAAAGTCATGAAATCATATACTAACCAACCAATTAGAAAGTACATATCTTAACGTAAGCTATCACCCATTTGTGGGCTTCACAAGTCCAATGTGTGGTATATAATTTTAAGGGTCTCTTTCACCTAATAGACCAATGTTTTGGGATGAGCTTTTCCTTTAATTTAGTGCACTAATAACATTGATTCATTAATTGAGAGTCTGATGTTTACGAAGGGGGCTATCCACGGAGGATTCTGACTGGTAAGAAGCCAAGCGAACTATTGTGGTGTGGAACTGCCAGGGACTTCAGCTCTTGAATGAGGTACATTGTTAACACATTAGGAAACTTAAAATATAGTTTATAAGTTCAATAGCCCCTCACATCTAATAACTTAGTCTTTTGAGATGGATTCTCTTTTTTGTCTTATGTTCATAACAGAATTTTCAAAAAGAAAATGAAGTATCTTAAGTGAAAAAAAGCTATCTTTGATTTATGCCAGACTCCCATGCAAACAACTTCTAACAAATTTCGTATAGGCGTATTATATATAGGTAAATTAGTTTTGTCCATATAATATAGTTTTGAAAGTCCCCCGTTATTCACTTATGCAAGTTTCGCTTCAAATCCAACAACCCTGACATTGGATCTACCTTAAAAGTTTCATAAAAACCTTTTCTAACTCCTCAACACAACTCAAAATAACCAGTTTAACTTGATTGAATAAGGTTTCAATTAAGAGCAAGCATTGTAACATTTAGTATTTTAAATACCGATGGCAAATGAAGTTCTCTAAATACCCATTAAACAAGTAAAACAAAAAATAATATGATATGTATGTCTAATTAAATGTAACCAAGAAGTTTTAGATACCAAGTCAGCCAAAATAAGAGGAAAACTTTGTTGGGCAAAATATAAAATAATGAGAAGTCTAAGGGCAAAAAGTGCATATAAGAAAAATAAGTGTAATTATGAAAAAATTCCAGAAATTAGAGAAAAAATTTAAGAAAATCCTGAAAAATAAAAAAGAGATTTCTAAGGTGTTTTTGAAGCTTAGAAAAATTATTTAAACTGAAAATTCCTCAAAAATTTATTGGGCCAAAAGTAGGTGAAATTTTAAGGAGATTAATGAGTACATAATTATTAAAATTATGTAAAGACTCAGAAAAATTATGAATAATTATTTTGGGAGTTTAGATATTTTTTGAAAATAAAAATTTCTCAAAAAGGGAAGCAAATAAGTTCAAAGCTATTTTGTTGTAATTAAGGGCCTATTTTTCCAAAACAGATAAGAAAAAATAGTTAAATGTTAATATTTAGCCTAAAAAATTATTCTATGTGGTAAAGAAGATAATTAAGGCAAAAACTTCTTATAAAGTGTTGAGGATTAATTTTTAAAATTTATTTAGTGATTAAGTTCCAATAGAAAAGAAATAAAATGGTATGTTCGTTACGTTTAATCTCAAAAAATGAATTTGGGCTAAGATTCAACCCAATTCATTTAGCACGGACGTGCAAAAGCTTCTTTTCTCAAATAATTGGACCAAAGAAAACGGAAGGAAACTTTTTAGAAAAAACAAAAGGAAAAACCATCAAAGGTTAGGTCAAGCGAAAAGGATTTAGTTCTTCACAACATAGTCAGGAGCTAGAATTTCTCGATTTTGCGGTAGGAATAGTATGAGGTATGATTTTTAAGTAAAAGCAGAGAAATCCCTTCAAGAATCTAAGTTAAACAACCAAAGTTTAAGGCTTAAATTTGAGGAGCTAAGACTTGGGCTAAGGGTTGAATTTAATTATGCAGTGAAAGTGCATAAAAATTATATGTATTAATATGACTCTATGTTTATAATTGTTAAGCTCTGATTTATGCCCAAGTCCCACAAGAAAGCAAGAGCAAAAGTAGCAAGCAAGAAGTGTAAGCTTGGAAGAAGAGTTTAGAGGTAGCTAAAACTCTTATTCCCGTGTTAATTTGTGTTGGTTTTTGCGTGTTTGTTTATGCCATATTTGTTGTAATTAAGTAATAGAACATGCAAATTCCTTGCTTGAGTTCATTGCCTTTGCCATGTGCACTATCTAGCTAGTTATAAAGTTCTAAGGTGTTGTTCTGTGTTGTGGTATTTATTACTTGCTTATTTATGACTTTGCACATATAATGTATTAAGATATGATCTTCTGCTGAGATTCTCAAAAATTTCATCACTTTTTTCATGTCCCAATAGAAGAGTAAGCACCTTTAAAGGCAAAGGCAAGTTATAGTGGTGGAATTTTGAAGGTGGAGGCTCTTAAGCAGGCACCTCTAAATTATTATTCTTCTTCTTCTTCTTCTTGTTATTTCTAATTAGAGATGTAATTAACCTCCATAATAAGGAGAAGGAGGGCTAGTCTAAGCCTCAGTTAAGTGCCATGCAATAATCGTGGCCACTAAGATGCATGGAATTAGCTAGTTAGATTTATTTATTACTCATCTGGTCCTAAATATAAAAGTCATTTTGTAGTATAATTTACATTAGAAAATGAGTCTTACTTTTAGGACGGGAGGAACCTTTTATGCATGAGCCACAGAATTGATAATCTTGGAGTAAGTTAGGCTTTAAAACTTGGTCAAAAAAAAAATAGTACATATGTTAGGCTTTAAAACAAGTCCTAGTGCAACTTTTTTAATGTCACTAATAGTTAAAATTTACCACTATTATTATTCTTAACATTGCATCGAGTGAAAATGCTTTTAACTTTTTATCATTTCACATAATAATATCTGAATGATGTACGATAAGGATAAGCAAATATATTGTTACATACCTTTTCTCCTTTGCTTTTATAAACTTGAAGAAGAATCAAGCAATGTTGAAAGAACTAAGAGCAATCGTCACTTCGAAAAACAAAATCACGAGACCTGTTAATTATAAGTGCAAAAAAATTTTAGTATCTGAAAAAAGGTTAGTACTAAACATAAATAATATATATTATATGAGATTTTGAAATACGTCTAATTAATATGTTTTCCAATAAAAGACAAATATATGCGCATAGAACATTTCCTTATGGCCAAAAACAATACATTTATATGACATGAAAGAAACAAGATCCAGATATATTCTCACCTTAATTTTTTCCCCCCTTCCCCTTTTGATTTGTAGAAGAACAAACAATGAAACGATAGACAACAACACAAACCTGTCAAACAAAAAGACACTTGAAATTTTTAGTATTATAACAAACGAAGCATCAGTACAAAATATATAAGAAAATTGATATCTAACTAAAGTGATTATATTGTTCATCAAAAATACACACACATACTACCTCCGGTCCTAATTATAAAAGCTAGTTGATTAATTTGAGGAGATTAAGAAAACAAGTTAAGTTAGTTATTTGTAATAAATAGGTGTTGTCTTTTCTAAAATATCCTTGCTAATCAAGTGTGTTGGCTAGAACTATCATTATTAGAAAGACTATCTTAGGAAAAAATGTATAAATATTAGAGCCAGAGTTGATTGGAATCATATATTTAAGATCAAAATAAAAGTTAAATGAGGTCTTGTATTAAGGATTGGATGTAGTATTTATATAAAACCAACGCAACATAACTTCTGTGCAATCACTACAAGAAAATCCTAACTAACAGACAAAAGAAACTCTCTCATATGAAGAACTTACATCCTTTGTTTTCTAGATCAATGTGTGATTTTCTTCAAATAAAATAATATAATTTTCTCTCGACTTTATTTGCTATCATAGATTCTCTTGACCTGATTTTTAATCAAGTCCGTGTGTGTCTATATATATTTACCAGATCATTATAGTCTTACCTGATTTTTAATCAGATCCTTGTACTTTTTTTACTTTTTATCAATCATTTGAAACTAAAATGGCCCGATTAAAAACTCTCTCATATGAAGAACTTACATCTTATGTTTTCTAGATCAATGTGTGATTTTCTTTAAAAAAAAATAATTTTCTCTCAAATTTATTTGCTATCATAGGTTCTCTTGACCTGATTTTTAATCAAGTCCATATATATATATATATATATTAGATCATTATAGTCTTGCGTAATTTATAATCAGATCATTGTAATTTTTTTTTACTTTTTATCAGTCATTTGAAACTAAATGGTCTGATAAAAAATCAAGTAAAATTATACATACTTGATAAAAAGAAACCACAAGAACTTGATTAAAAACATGTGAAACTATAAAGACTTAACAAAAAAACTATAAGAACCTAATTTCAAGTAGGTAAGATTAGAGGTGGAAATAGGTTAGGCCCCTATCAAGAGCTTATAACCTAACTTACATAAAGTCTAGCTAGCCTATTTACAAAATAGGCTAGGCTCATATTCTAGCCTATTTTATGGTCTATCTAGGCAAAAACTCCATGCCTATTTCCATAAGGCCTAACTTATTTAGTTTTTTTTTTTATTTGTGTTATATACAATATAATATAAATTAATTTTATAAATTATTTATGAAATTATAAACTTTGATTTGATTCTAAGTTTCACATCATAATATTGCTACATATGATCAGCTTTCTTTCATTTATCAGTCATTCGCCTCTATCTTCTTTTCAATTGCTCAAGATGACAATATTAGCTCACTTCCTCTTCCCTGATCTATGTTGTTTACTAAAAAATAATAATTGTTGTAAGTTTATTTTAGTGATGTCTAAATAAAATATTATAATCTCAAGAGAGAGAGTCACAATTTATATAGTAAAACCAAAGGAGGTAAAATTGGTCTTACATGTCATTTGATGTGCTTAGTTAATTTTAGAAAATATATCTATTTAGTCGATAGATAATTGGTTTTTCTTATTCCTACTTGATCTGAAAATACTGTAACTATGCATTCTTTTCTTTTTCTTGTTAAACTCTAGACTTTTAAGACATAATATATATTTTTAAATAGATTTGAAAAGATTGCATATGATCTTAGAGGCATAGATTTTTAAGCTTATTTAAAAGCTTACATTTTAAATAGGCCTTTAAATAAGTTTCAAGTATTGTCAAACCTTTAAAAGCTAAGGCTCAGGTCTTAAAAAGCTTACATACAAGCTCAGGCCCACGCCCACGCTTAGATATTTATTGCAGGCCTAAACTGATTTATCTAAAGCCTAACCTTTCCTAACTTATTTCCATCAATAGGTGAGATTAATTTCCCTTAAAAAATATTATATATTAAAATTTAAAATAATCTTCTAATACTCCAGACCAATTATGTAGCAAAAGACAAATATACACACTGATACGTATATAAGAATAACGTGAAAAGAAACATGATCAATTTACCTTCTTTTTTTTTAAAGAGATTCCAATGTTGCTGGACAAAGAGACCTCCTTTTTTTTCACTTTTTGCTTTTTTTTTTGAAAAAAAACTTTTTGAAATTTGGAGCAAAACAAAGTGATGAAGAGAAAAGTAGAAGATCCGTCAGAGCAGATGAACACGAAATCTGTCAAATACAAACACAAAATTTAGTGACAAGAACAATTGACACAAATTACATATAATATTCATTTTTTTTTGCCAAATATATAATATTCATCTGGAATCACAAAATTAATTAATTTAGTAAATATATTTAGATGTGATCAATCTTCTTTTATTTTAATTTTTTCAATTAGGTTTCTGTAGAAATTTTTTTCCCCTTCTCTATTTGGTCACGATTCTTCATTTTTCTTGTATATTTAAAAGTATAAATAATTCTAACATAATAACGAAAGAAGGTGTACAGAATCACACAAAGTACAGCATTGAATCCTAGTCGGCTAATAAAAAAAAAAATCGGCTCTTAAACAGTGGGGGAAATGCTTAAACTTACAAGTTTAATAAATAGCTAAATATTTTCTATAAAATATTCTATAAGTACCCCACACACACTCGTATTTAATATTATTCTCATTGTATAATTTATATGTTGATCATTTTTCATCCTCATAAAACTATATAATCCTTTAATTTCTATAATATAAAATAATGATTGCAGAACTAATACACAGAGAGGAATAAAAAATATTTGAGAAAATTTGATGAGTAGAACATCATATATAACATTTAATTAGAACATCATATTTACTTTTAATCATAAAAATATTGCAAATATTAATTAAAATTAAAAAGCTTACACCCAAAAGTGCAACCCTAATATACAGAAGACAACCATATAAACGTAACATGATGCAGAAAACACAATCATAATAAATTCTCACCTTTTTTTTTTTCAGGGATTTCAATGTTTTTCAACAAAGAAACCTCCTTTTTTTGAAGAACAAATTTAACGAAGGGAAATTGAAATATTTTCACGCAGAAAGACAAGATTACAAAATCTGCTAAGTAAAAGACCAAAAAGTTTTAGTTTTGGCGAGATATCAGAATCATTGCAAATGTACATAACTACATATAGGGCAAGAGACAAATTAATGATTTAAATTCAAGTTCATTATTTAAAATGATGACAATATGCATTTGTAATAGAAAATTTTTCTATTTATTCTATTTTTGGGATCACAATATATATACTTTGCATTTCTCATTTCCACTTTTTTTTTGGCCGACGCACTTCTTCAATTTTAATTTTTGATAATATTAAGAATCACAAAAACTTTTTTATGGATTAAAATATAAAAAATATCCAACCTAGACGCGTCACGAATATATGCAAGTACATAATATGAAATGAAACAAGATAAAGATATATTCTTATTATTATTTTTATTTAAAAAATTGATAAAGAATAAACAATGAAACAAGAAGACAATAACACAAATTTGAATAACAAAATGATGAAGTGAAAGGTGAATCTCACCAGAAATCCAGAACAGTACAGAATCTGCCAAGAAAAAGAAACACACGAAAATTTTAATGTTAATAATGATAAATTATAGGAAAAAAGACAGTAAAATACCCTCAAAATTACTAAATAACAAATTAGGGTAGGTAAATTTGAAAATCTCAATTCAGACCCTAGGTACCATTTTGGAATTTTCAAATCTTGTAAAATGACAACATTGTCCTTACTGTCGGTGGCTACTTCCATATAGCTATTGACTACTCTATTTTAACTATTGACAACTTTTATTTTCAAAGTTCCAATGAATATTTTTATATAGCTATTGACTACACAAGAGTAGTAAATTGCATTATTAGAGTAGTCAATAGCTTAGCAAGAGTAGTCATTAGAATTTAAAAATAAATGTAATCAATAGCTAATAAAGAGTAGTCAATACATAAGAAAGAGTAGTCACTAGAGCTCCCCTGACCAGTCACCGGAATTCTAGTAACATGTCATTAGAGTTTAAAAATAAATGTACTCAATAACTAAAAAAGAGTAGTCAATATATAAGAAAGAGTAGTCATTGGAACTCCGACAACCAGTCACTTGAACTCCGGTAACCGGTCGCTGGAGCTCCAGTGGTTGGTCACCAGCAGGGTCGCTGGCGTCGGAGCTTTGGCGGCTGGAATTGCTGATGTGGCAGTATTTAAAAAAATTTTAAAAAAAGTAAAGGGTATTTGTGTAATTTTACAAGATTTGAAAATTCTAAAATAGTACCTGGAGTCTGAATTGGGATTTTGAAATTTACCTACCCTCTTTTGTCATTTAGTAATTTTGAGGGTATTTTAGTGCCTTTTTCCCTAAATTATATATAATCATATGAATTAATTGGCCAGTCTAAAATTAATGTAACCCGAGTACACTCCATAATAGTTTTATGGATTCCAATGTATGAATTAATTACATTTGTCATATTTCTCACAAAATGTTCAATTATTTATTATGCCAGATTGCACATATTTAAATAAGTTTTTTTGCCAACATATTTAAATAAGATACAAGTCATCAAAAGTTAATAATTGTGAATTAAAGATATAATATAATGAAAATATTTAATGCTTGACTTTGACTTTGGAGCAAAATCACAAAGTTCTTTTTCCAAGCATCAAGTTCAACCTCCAAATTAAATCTTACATCTCATCTTATGCAAAATAATAACCTTCAAAATATAAAATTATAAAATTTTAAATAGTTTTCTAGCAGTCCAAACCAGTTATATAGCAAAGGGCGATGAGATAAGCATTAAAATGAAATGGAACACGCATGATCTAATATATTCTTACCCCTTTTTTTCGGGTGAGATTTCAATGTTGTTGGACAAAGAGACCTCCTTTTCTTTTTCTTTTTCTTTTTTTTTTTGGTTTTTTAAATGTGGAGCAATCCAAAGTGATAAACAGAAAAAATGAAAAGATTCTTCACAGCAGAAGTAAAGCACACAAACTCTGCCAAATGTAAGCACACAAAATTAGCATAAGCAAAAGGAAAATTAATAAAAAATTAAATGACAACTATTTTATATATATATATTGTATATATGTTATACACAACATTTGGCATCATCACTACATTAATTTAAAGGTTAAGAATTTGTGGATCTTAACAATAATCATGAGCTTTTAACATTTCTCATGTTAAATTTTGTGAAAATATTTGGATATAATTAGATATTTGCATATAAAAGCTCTTCTTAATGCCCAAAATTTAGAGCGTCCTATTTAGTTTTGACCAAAAAAATGTTTCTGTATATAAAGGTCAATATTATGATTATTGCAAGATATTGATTAGAACTAGCTAAATTAAAAGTGCAAACCTATCATCTAATAAAAGACAAAACTATAAAATTATAACACTGTAAAAAAAAACTTGCAATAAAAATAAATCCTCACCTTTTTGTAGAGATCTCAATGTTGTTTAACAAAGAAACCTCCTTGTTTTTTTTTTTAAAATTTGACGAGGAACAAAATAATGGAGAGAAAATGAACAATCTTTCCACAGGATGATAAGAACGCAGAATCTGCCGAGCAAATGACAGAGGAAAAAAAAAGGGTTTCAGTTTTAAATTTTATTGGTGGAAGAATCGATCGCTGCAAAATTATAAGGCAAGAGACAAATTAATGATCTGAATGCAAGCCTATTATCTAAAGTGCTAATAATATGCATATAAGCTACTACCTTGGGTCCTTTGTATAAAAACGGATTAACTAATTTGAGTAAATTAAAAAAATTAGTTAAGTAGTTAAGTTAATTATTTACAATAAATAAATGTTATCTTTCCTAAAATATCCTTACTAATCAAATATATTAGCTAGAGCCATCATAACTGCAAGGACTACTTTAGGGAAAAAAATGGATAAATATGAAAGATAAAGGGAATTGGAATTTTATATTTATAATCAAATTAAAATTAAACTAGCCAATAACTAATTTTTAACATACAATTAAGTGCTAACATATAAGTAAATCATAAAAGCATAAAGATTTTGATCAAGCTTAATATTGGATATAGAAAGAGCCAACAAAATGCTAATTAAATGGTATTGATATCCTTGAAAATAATTCTCACGCACATAAAACAAACAACAATTAATATCCATACACAGACCTTGCAAAGATTGAAGCAGGAACAATTGAGTTGTTGATGAAGGGGGAAAGCAGCAAGATTTGAAACTTCTTGAACTCAGAGTGATCGATGAATAATGATTGTTTGCTTGGCTTAATTATAAGGAGAGCAAGAATCTCATAACTAAGAGTGTATCCCACTCAAAGTATTATCCTCCTTCTTTTTAGTCTTTGTTTGCTCAAAAAGAAAACCAAAACGAGAGCATCGTCCGTATTCCTTGCTTCTTTGCTTACACACACACACATATATATTCTTTGCTTTTTGGTGATATGTATGTCTGTTTGTTTCTTTTTGAAATTATTTTATTTTCGTTATCATTTCCCTAATGAGAGAAGAAGGCAAGGAAAGCATAAAGCAATCATGAAACTTCTTTCCTTGGTCATAAAAGGATCTAACACCATGGTGACCGGCAAATAAACTATAATTTTCAATTTTTTGACAAAACAAATGTTCTTGCAAGCAATTAGATTTTGTGGGCCTACCTCCATGGGAGAAAATATAAGAAGGGGTGAGGGACACAGTTCTAGATCCTTTCAAAATTCCTCTCCCCCTTTTTCCTCCAGAATTACATTTTTTACCTTTGGATCAAAAGATAGATGGTTCATATTTAATATTTTAAGAAATGGATGTGCACTATCTCTTTCCTTTTTATGTAACATTATAACAGTGATTTTATAAAATCTTTACTATATATGAATCATCTATTTTTTGATCCAAAGAGGGAGATAGGACTCTAAGAGGGAAACTGGGGAGGGGGGGATTCTGTGAGGATCCAAATCTGAGGGATACACAGCAGAGAAAGGGGAAAAAAAGACTACTATTTATTATTTGCTATTTTTGACAATTATTTAATTTATAGAAATCTTGAAGTATTTGTAGAATATGCATTTCGTCTAGTGAGAGACACTTGTTAATTTGAAGCACAAGAAGCTAGTGAATATGTGTGTATTGTCTCCAAGCCCTCTCATTATAGTCTTGCATACCGTTCTTGATATATGGGAACCTATCTAGAGACTAGAAATACAGAATGTAATCCACTAAAACTCAAAAAAAACCAAAAAAAACTTGTTTCTAAATCTTAGCTGAGAAAAGACTTCACAGTGAGTTAAAAGTTAAAACTCTTGTAATCTAGAAGTATTTACACAAAGTGACGAGAAAATACTTGTTAAAAGAAGTTTCTCAATCATAACTTAAAAAAAAAATTCTACACAACTTAATTTTCAAATAAACAAAAATTTTAACTCTAAATTACTTCAAATTCAATATGAGATCACCTTTCAATTGTTATCCCTAAAGGATATACTTCCTGATGTATTATTCTATAGCTTGGCAAAAAGACAATCTAAGTCACTCTAATTAAAACACAAGTTGCAAACTGTTAAGTAACATATATATGTTACTTGTTTGATACATATAATCTAATTTATGATTTACTTTATTTTTAATAATTTATATATATATTAAATTTCTATTTTTATATTTTAAATTACTCATTAAAAGATCAAATGAATATTGTAAAAACAATATAAATTAGAAATAAAATATACGAGATTAATGATATCATATTAATTATATTGATATTTATTTTTTTCAAAAAGAATATTCTAAATATTATATTAATATATAAATTAATATTTGATCTTATTTTTAATATATAAATTAATATATGTGTGTTAAAGTAAAAGAAATTGGGGTGGGAATAAATATATAGAGATACGATGTTACATGAGTTTTCAACACGATCCTGAAGTATAAATATAAATCACATAATTTAATCTATATTTTTTCATGAAATTATCATTAACAAACATATTGTAAAAAACTTATGAATAAACTTTTTAAAATTATATAATTATTTGAAAATAAAAATAAATTTACAAGTAAGGAAAGATAAGTTTTAAAGTAAGGAAAAATAATACATGTCAATGAAAGTACAGCTTCGGTTACTACCATGTAATAACAAGATACTATATAATATAATTGATATCTTATTTTTGCAACTCATATATCTAAAATAGTATATTCATGGAGTTTACGGGAGAATGACAATGGATAATCCAAAATTCCAAATGATTTAACTGAAAATCCTTCAAATACCAGAATACCTAATTAAATAAATAAAACACAAAATAAACTAAAAATAAATCAATTGGTCAATGACATATAAACTTTAAGCGTTCTTGTTTAGTCATTAGACCTCGTAGTTTTTCACTTGGAAACTTGCTCAATGGGTTAGAGTTGTTCTTTCATATTGTACCCATGCACCTTCCCTGTACCCACCCTTCACAATCATGGGAGACTTGTTCTTGGCAAGGAAGAGTTTATTTATAGCTTCCTTAATCTCCATAGTAATTTTATGTTTCTACTCAAGTTATCATTATATTCTAACTATCACTTTTGCCATTCTATATATGCCATTCATTTTTTGTCTAAGTTTTCATATGATATTTGTGTACTTCACTGTTCTCTTGAAGATTTGTTTGGTCTTTTTAATTTTTGTCCATCAATAATGTTTCTTCTCTAATGTTTCTCTAGCCTTAAATATAAAACCCATTTTATAGTACAATTTACACTATAAAATGAGTCTTATATTTAGAGTAAGATGAGTATATTCTTATCCTGCTTTCTTCTTGGGTTAGCCATGAATAATTTGCAGATGTATGTGGGATGTGATCAACCATAGAGATTAAACCCCTCGGGGAATATTAATGTGTTTGTGTAGGGAACTTCAATTAGGGAGATCACGTTGGCGGAGAAATAAGCACTGCCTGCAAGTTACCAATTTGAATTAAATCTACGCCTTCGTCCTGGCGGAGGTAGCAGTTAATTTAATTCAATGTGACACAATGACTAGCATTAAGAAACAGATAATTGCTTGACCTCTTTGCGGCTTGATTGATAGGTTCTTTGTAGCCTTAATTGCTTTCGTACTAATGTACTTCATATGATAAAATCTGAAGAAAAACCTTCTATACACAAATCTACATTATGCAAGTGCATTTCTGAACTGCTCAGCAAATTCTATAACGAATCAACCGCAAGGAAATATAGAAATTTGGTAAATGTATTACATGTGTGATGTAATATTAACAACAAATAATCAGCCCACTACAGAAGAAATTACATGCCGATCTTCTGTTCAAGGAGATGTAATAGGAATAAATTAATGATGCAGATTAAACTATAATTATATCCAAGAATGATAAGCATGCAGAGCCGTCTCAGAACCCTTAAAATATATAATCCTCATCGACCACAATAATTACATCCATTTTCAACCTGACATTGGTAGTTTCTTTCTTAACTGCCACACCCTTCTTGTCTGCCTTAGAGATTAGTCCCATACGAACATGAAAGTGTCCTTAACATCCTCAAAGTTTCCTAGCAAGCGATGGGAGATAGGGTTCATTCAACCTCTTTCAAAGCAGCATGTCTCCATCATTGGCTCATCAAACATTGTTCTTGGGAAATTGTGAAGTTGAATGCACTTTTCTGGTTTATTGCACATGAGGCTAATGGTAAAGACAATGAGAGACAGTGTTCATGCAACCTCTTCCATTTCCTTGGCACGATCTTTGAGCATGAAAATCGATAATTCATGCAGTTCGTGAAGACCAAGAAACAAAGCCGTTCCTCAACTAACTCAAACTTGCAACTAACCAGTTGCACTCTGTCCAGGAGTTTTCATGATGCTGTTTTGCCGCATCAGTAATCTAACCTTTTCAACCTCATCCCATTTTCCTTCTTCTGCATAAATATTTGACAATAGCACATCATTCCCGGAATTTGATGGTTCGAGATTGATAAGCTCTTTTACTGCAATTTTTGTGAGTTTCCTTTCACCATAAGTGCGGCAAGCACTAAGCAATGCACCCCACAAGGCAGCTGTAGGCTTCATGGGCATGCTTCTGATCAAATCATGAGCTTCCCATACCCGTCCACAACGTCCAAGAAGATCTACAACGCAGCCATAATGTTCCAGTTTTGGCTGAAGTTCAAATTTTGCAGTCACCGAAGCAAAGAGTTCAAGCCCTCTATCTGCTAAGCCTGCATGAGCACAACAAGCTAAAACGCTGGTAAAAGTCGAGTCAGAGGGGCTACCGCCCTTCTCTATCATCTCCTGGAACAAGTCAACCCCCAGTTCACCCTTCCCATTATAAGCCAACCCAGATAACATGGCGTTCCAAGAAATAACATTTTTGTGAGGCATTTCATTAAAAATGCTCCAAGCAACTTCAAGATTTCCAGACTTGCAATAGAAATCCACAAGTGAATTTCCCACAGCAATGACATCTCGTTGAAACCCTGTGGAAGAGGCATAAGAAGGATCCATTTCCCAGCATCTAAAGCTCCTAGGCGAGCGCAAACAGGCAGAACAGTGACCACGGTTGCATCATCTGGTTCAAAGCCCTGTTCCAACATTTCATGAAAAAGTTCAAGGGCTTCTCGGTCCTTCTTATTTTGTGCTAGTCAAGAAATCATGATATTCCAAGTAACAATACTGCGTTCCTTCATATGTCTGAAAAGCTTAAAACCTGTTTCCAAAGAGCCAGTCCTACAAAACCCACGAATCATCAAATTACAAACAATCACATCTGTATCAAACATTGGATCAAACACCTTCTCAGCATCACCAATTCTCTCGCAAGTTGTATACAACTCCACCAACCCAATGCGAAGGGAACCATGGCTTTCAAATCCAGCTCGAATAACTTGGGCATGAACGCACTGGCCAAGTATGTAGTCCCCGAGGTTTGAAGTGGACTTAAGCAGAGGCGCAAAAGTATACTCATCAGGCAAAATACCACGGGTTTTCATAATGGAGAAAAAGTGGAAAGATTGCTGGAAGGGGCCACATAAAGAAAAGCCTTGATCATGGAATTGAAGAGGAGAATATTGGGATTACGGGTTTGGTAAAAGATACGAGTGGCGTAAGACATTCGATGAAGAGCAGCGCAAACAGAGACGAAGTGAGCAAGGATCTGATTGGAATGATGAAGAGCATGGCGAAGAAAATAGGCATGAATTTGGGTGATTTGGGTGCGAGTATTGCGACCGTGAAGAAGACGAAGAACTTTTCGCTCAATCCCCCGGCAGTTTCTGCTCATTCCGTGTCAATACAATCACCGTGCGAGAGGACCTGCCTTTGCTGTTAAATAGGAAAAGACAGGATTGGCGGGAAGAAGCCCAGGCCTATTAAAAGAAATGGACTTGCATGTTACAGCAGTATCGGCATTCCGCAACCCCCCCGCAATGGCATCAACCTCGTTCAACAACTACGACAGTATTCAGGGGTGAAATGAATTGAAGATGTCGAAGATGATCACCAAATCTGAATCTCTCTCAAAACGCATCGTAACGCTAGGTCTTTCTTTGCCATTCTATTAATCTCTTGGTCCTTGGCTGTTATTTGAACCAGGCCCTTCAGGTTATTACTGGAATTTAGGGATTTTTCTCTTTAAACCTGCAGAAAAAATCACATAAAATAACCCATAAAAAATCACCCAAAAAAAAAACCCCCGTAAGCTCATATGTTAGCATAATAAAATATGGATTTATCAATGTAGCTGGCCAAACACCTGATTTTAAGCCCCCCAATAGCCACGGATCAAACTGACCAACTTCCACTTCCTGGGAGCATGAGAAATTTACTCGTTATCTCCAGTTTGGAATAAAGCCTATGCATTCAACAAGAGAATTTGTTCTAATAATTCTAAATTTAAGAGTTCTCATTTATATGCTAACACCACAACAATGCAAAAGGGACAACAACTCATTAAGGGGAAAAAAAATCAAAACCAAATCTTCTTTAGCCAAAGTAGAACTTGTATATCCTAAACAGTAAGATTTTTCCCCCCCAAAAATTAAGTTGGAGTCAACTTAAACGTGCTGATTTCCAGGGAACGGAGGAATTGAATTCCACAAACCAATTTATAAATATCCAACAATCTTAATTAAATTAAATTCTTCTACAAGATTGCACAAACATTCCAAGCATATCTTAGCTTAACTCATACAATAAACACCACACTTCACCAATCAACAACTATATAACTCTTAAGCACCCAAATAGCTCCCAAGATTAGTTACAACACCTTCATTGTGGCGTTATATTATTAGCCAAGCAACTTCAAATTCCTTAGTTAATTTCTCAACATTGTTCACACAACACATAATAGATTCCATAGTTCCCCTTCCGCAATTATCAAAACTTTTAATACAACACATATCCAAATACACTTTCTCTCAAGTGTAAGCTAAACAAGATCTCCAAGTCTCTTTCTTCTTTCACACAATTCGTCAAACACCTTATAGGCATTCAACTTAGTTCAACAACCAAACATCGTAATCCACAAGTTAGCAGCCATAAATAATTAAATATTGTTAATATACGCACACATATCAGCCTCCACATTCAAATGACCTCGTCAAACCCATCAAATCAAAACTTATCAAAGTTCAATGCAAACCCCCCCCCCCCAACATGGCAACGCCAAACCTGAACAATAAAAGAAAGAATTAATAAGTCCAATACAACCTTACACACCCTGATTAAATAGAAATGAAGCAAATTATCTCCAATTCACTCCCGACAACAGCAGCAACGAAAACAGGGGAGAAGAACAATGAAAACTCCTCTCAAATGCACCGCCACCCAAGCTTAAAAAATAATGGGATTCATGCTTACCTAAATCCTTAGTAGCCGCGTTTAAGAAGGAAGAAGAAAAGGGAATGAAGCTCAATCCTTTCCAAGCCACTAAGGCACCGATCAGAGCAAAGAAGGAGACAGAATGGCAACGCTTGAAGGAAGAAATGCAGAGATTAGCATTACCGGCGAATCCACAGCTCACACATCGTCGACGAACGCACGGACAGGGGAGGAACCCCCGAGGGGGTTGAACTGATAGGGAAGAGAAGGAAAATAAAATCTGATTTTTTTTGCCAGAAAATAAAAAATCTGATTCAAACTTAAATCTTCAGATTTTTCAAAGGGCAATTTCACAATTTAATTCGCAATAAAAAATGCTAATTAAATTATAACTATTGAATTATCAAAGTTATTACAATTACTCTCTTTTTTTCCTCTCTCTTTTTTAATGAGCTTTTTTTTTAATTTTCAAGAGGAGGTTACTACTTTAAAATCAAAATTATGCCCATTATTGTTTTTTCTTCATTTTCTGTTTTCTCTTTTTGTTTCAAATTTACTTGATCAATTAATTATTATTGCTATTCTTAATAATTCTCAAATTTTTGGGTCATTACAGTTATATAATATAATTGAGATCTTAATTTAGCAACTCATATCTAAAATTATATATTCAATGGAGTTTACAGGATAATGACACTTAATGATAATCCAAAATTCCAAATGATTTAATTGAAAATCCTTCAGATATGAAAATACCTAATTAAATAAATAAAACACAAAATAAACTAAAAATAAACCAATTCGTCAATCACACATAAACATTCTTGTTTAGTCATTGGATCTCGTAGTGGTCCACTTTGAAACTTATGGAGCGGATCTTGCTTTGTACGACAACAGTGCAAAAAAAATATCCGTGAAATATTATCAATAGTTATTAATATAAAAATTAGTTAACTAATTTGAATAGATTAAAAAAAATTTTAATTTAGTTATTTAATAAGTAGATATTGTCTTTTCTAAAATATCATTTTTATATTTTGAAAAAAATGAATAAGATAAGAGACAAAGTAGATTGGGATATTATATTTAGGATCAAATTAAAAATCAAACTAACTTTTATATTAAGGATTGGAGGTAGTATTACAGTATTAAAATATTTAATACCTTTAATATTAAATATTTGTTATTCAATTTTATTACTTAATTATGCTATAAATATTTATATTATATAATTTGATTTTAAACAATATATTTTAATATAACGCGAAAATACTTTCTCTTTATCATGTTTTATCTCATCCATGGAAAGAAAATGAGAAATAATGTTTTTTTCTTTGATTTTTTCTTGTCTTTTTTTTTTCTATTTCTATTTTCTTTCTTTCTAATTTTTTTTTCAATGCAAATCAGGGTAAGAGTCTCTCCGTCCGCATTAAACTCTTAAATAGAGTTTATGTCCAAAATCTATATAATCCTTTTCAGTAGGAGATCCTCTCAAAATCTCCCCTTTTCTTTTCTTCTTGGAATTTCATTTTTACTGTTGAATCAAAGAATATATGGCTCAAGCTTAATAGGTACAGATAGGATTCTAAGAGAGAACGAGAATCTGGACCCAACTTTTTTCCAAGTTTTTTTAATAAGAAAAATGATATATAATTAACTCCATTTATTTATATACATATATACATGTGTATATATATATATATATATCAACATCATTAATAACCAAATAAACTAACAATGCATAATACGCCCATTTTTTTTTATTTTCCTTTTTTTGTAGGGTTAAGGTGCGTCCAGCACCACGAAATATTTTTTCAAGCACATTCAGTGTCCTAAAGTTATTTGTGGTACATTTTTGCCCCTAAATATTTAAAGTGATACGGCCATATTTATTGCTAACAGATCCGTTTTTTTTTACCATCAACTGATGACTCAACTGTCGTTTTACTAAAATAATCCTTCCTTGCTGTACACATAAGCTAATGACGTGGCTTTGTTTTTAATAGAAATAGAAATCTTTTATTTGTTTTATTTTGTATCTAAAAATCACAATCCCAAGGGCTTGTTCAGTCGTCTTCCCCATGGTGGCTAATGAAACTTGTTGGTCTCAGGCAAAGATCATTTTTTAAAGCCCTAAGCATCTGCACTGCTAAATTCAGCTGAGAATAGAGGGTCTAACCATGTTACCTCTTGAGTCATACCTCAACAATAAGGACGCTGATGAGGACCAGAGAGGATGACGGTGACTTCGGTGAGACGACGAAAGACAGCAGCGACTTTGGTGAGGATGACGATGGACGTTAGCTCTTTGTCTTCTCATCGTCCTTTGATTTGCAACGTGGCGGTGGCGACTCATCTCCACCAGTGTCAGCGGCGACTCATCTCTACTAACGACAGAGACAAGCAGTGTTTACTTCTCTGCGACGGAGACAAGCTGAGAGGCAACTTAGTCAAGTGCTTCACAGTCATTTTGATTTCGATATATATGTTTGATTTGGATCTTTGGTTCGATTGAGTCCTAGATCTTCGATTTTTTGGTTTGGATCGAAACATTAATTTATTTCAATTTCTTTGATTTATCTGCTTCTGGTATCTTTGATATGAAAAGTTATTTGTGTTTCCAGTGTTTTAATTTTGAATCAGATGTTGCCCCCCAATCCACATCGTCCCTGAGATTCGCATCTTCCCCTATGTTCTACTTTAAAAAACCCCTCAATACTGATACCCACTTGCAAACAAACAAAAAAAATGGAGAAACCGACTCTTACCTCAATCTATTGCACCATACTAGCTTCACCAGTACATGAACTTGAACGGCTGAAGAAGAAACCCAAAGGTCGCCTTCGCCATTACTTTCTTTTCCCTCTTCGATAAATTCTCTTTGGGCATATTCAGAGTAATTAAAAAATTTTGTTAAACAAAATTAAAACCATTCTAACAAAATGAAAGAATTCTTGTCAAGAAATACACATCACCTCTTAATGGCCATGTCAGCTAGGATTATTTTGGTCAAATTAAAGCCGAGTCATCAGTTGACAGTCAAAGAAAATGGATCTATTAGTATTGGATATGGGCGCCCCACTTTAAATACTTCATGGGCAAAAATGCATCATAAATAACTTTAAAACACTGGGTATATTTGAGAAAATACTTCAGGATACTGAGCGCACCTTAACTTTTTTTTTAAATATAATTTTCCTTTTTTCCGATTGTCGATGTTGTAGGTTTGATTTCAGCCCCTGTGGCTCTTGTTCATTGTTCAGTGTGCGTCGTTGCCAAGCTGCAGTGTAGCCCGGACCATCCGTTACAACCTTCTTCTAGGATTCTAGATGCCAAGTTCTCATCTTCTTGTCTCTTCTGCCTCCACCTCTTATCTGTATTCCGCTCTTTTCTGCTAATCCAATAGCTCGGATTCGTAAGTTAACCTATCACAGTTATTACTTTCGGTTTTATTGTTTAATTTTTTATACTGCCTCTTCTACTGTTTCCTAGATTTTAGAGTAACGGGTTTGGCACTGGGTTTTTGCTTGAGGCTTGTGATTTCCATGCTTGCTTAACTGGGGCAAAATCTCGATTCAATTAATTAGCTGGATTAATTAAATTTGTTGGCTATATAATGCATTGTTGCTGAAATCGTTTATGAGATCAAGATCCTGTGCGGATTCATCTTCTAATGGATGATTTTGTATGCTCCGAAGACTTTTGAGTCCATCATTACGCCGGTACTGGTAGTGAGGGAAATGTCCCCCACAAGATCGAATGTATAACAGTTAGAAAAAGAGATTGATAATTTCCTATGGGTTTCATCCTTCCTGTGACGTTTGATTACTTGGGTGATTTTTCGTTCTTAGCTTGTAATTGTTACTTTTTCTTGATAGGATTGAGACCTCATAAGGTTAAATGGCTGAGATAATTTTTGGTCTATTATTTATGTATATTTTAAATAATTCTAGCACAATAACTTGATTCCTGATTGTTATACCAAAGTGTCCTCTTGCCTGAGCATGCTTGGGTCTCTTAGAGGACACGTGATAAAATCATATCGATATCAAAAAGAAAAAGTAGTTAAAATTATTGTTTATAATTAATATGTATGGAACTTGTGATACTTTTTTCCTAATTACCATTACCATTTTATTATAAGAACTTAATGTGCAGGGACAAAAATATTCCAATAAATAGAGGTATTATGAGAAAAAAAATAATTAACATAAGAAATGAAGAGAAATTAACTCTTATATTTAAAACTGAGTTTCTCTTTACTATTCAGATATAATTTGAATAGTCTAGATTTATGTTTTTGTTTATGAAACAATTATTTTAATAGTATAAAATTTAAAATAAAGATAATCTATCGACTGTCAATTTTTCAAAAATATAATTTTTTTTATTTAAAGATCATTAGTTGAAATTTTTAAATATGAACTGTTGAAATTGTAGTTAGATACTTATCTGATTTTTAATATAAGATCTATTTAACTAATTTGATTAAATTAAAAAGTTAGATAAGTTAGTTAATTATAAGAAATATGGTATGTTTTTTCTGAACCACCATAATTATCTTTCTTAATATTCTTTCTTATTTTTTGCTTAATGTGGTTGAAGGAGTATCAATAGAAATAATTTAAAAAAAATTAATAAATATGAAAAATATGTCTTATATTTAGAACTAAGATTAACTCAATAATTAAGCCATATATTAAAAACCGGAGGAATAGGTCATATCTTACTATAACAATGGCTGCTATGATGGTGATGGTCACTAACTTATATTTAAGGCTAAGTTAGAATTTTCAAATGCACTTTATAAATTACAACGTGATGAGGTGAAACATTGGGGACGAATCCGTCCTACTCATAATAAACATGTGCTCTTGAACAATCTAATTAACCTACTCTCTCTTTTTGACCTTTCATATATTACGCCACATACGTATAAACCTTCCTATATAATTTCCTTTAAATTATTGTTATACATATATATTTGGAAGAACCATATGGTTGGAAACCAGCAGCATAATAGAACACCTTTTTGCTCTACCAACATACAATGAACCTCCAAGGTGTTCAATTTGAATTTCATGTATCCACGTGTAAAATAATAATTATCATGGCCGCAATAAATTTATGGGGAAAAAAGTAAGTGAAAGAGAATGAGAGTAAAAATGAGACAAAACATGTGGTAATTAATGTACATTCATATATTTAATGGGAATAAAAATAAAAAAATTGATTAAAATTCTAGAAAAAAGGTTGTAATTTACATATAGAGTCACTCTTATTGCAAAAAAAAAAAAAAGTAATTTATACGGTTATGTATTAAAATAATATTGTGAGTACTTATGATTAAATTGAAGGCTAACATAATTATTTTTAGTTGTTGAAATTTGATTTTATTTTGATTTTGATCCTTGAAAGTTGAAACCAAAAGTTTTGATCCTTAAAATAGTAAAATTGGACTTTATTTTTATTTTGATCTCTGAAATTTTATCTCATTTTAGTTTTTATCTTTATTTCAAGGACCAAAATCCCAACTTTAAGGACCACAAATCTCCCAGCAAGCCGAAATGAATTTAAACTTTAGGGACCAAAATTACTGGTTTGAAATTTTATGGATCAAAATCAAAATGAGATCAATTTTAAGGATCAAAATCACTAGTTTAGAATTTCAGTGATTAAATCTAAAATGACGTTAAATTTCATGGATCAAATATAATATTATTAACCCTTGAATTTAATGAGTTAATTTAGTATTTAATTCTTTTTCTATTCTATTCATTATTTTATATGCTTGCTTGGAATTTCCTTCGAAAGTTCGTGATTTATGTGAGTTGTTTAGTACATAGTCTCCTACAAAAATTGCAAATTTTAGTTATAATTACTATTGTCAAACTCGTGAGTTAACTCTCTGAATTTAACGTTTTTACATTTTCAGCTAATAAAATCGTGTCAATTCACTTTTAAACTTGTGATAACTGTAAATTCAGTTAAACTTACGAGTTTATTTACCAAGTTTACCGTTTTTACGTTTTTACCTTACAAAATCGTATCAACTCGCTTTTAAACTCATGCTAAATTTTTAGATTTGATTATGTTTAGTGACTTTATATATGAATTTTATAGAAATTTTCCTTGTTGAATGTGATAAATTATGAACACTGATAGATATAATTTCAATTATTTAAATTTAATAAATATTAATTATTTGATTATATACTTTTAATACTAGTTTATTAATAAAATTAAATTCTTACGAGTTTACGATCTGAATTTATGATCCGAGTTTATATCATTATCATAAGTTTGTTTAAACTCGCGAGTTTAACAACCTTGGTTATAATTAATTATTACTTTCGATTTCAAATATAATAACTAGTATATGATTTGTTTTGATATTAAATATAAAACTTCATTGTATTCTAAATTTATAATTTTTTATATTATATCTATTAATCATACATGTTAAGAGAGATTTTTAAATTACTAAGTCCTTCTCTTATTATAATTTAAGAAATAACTACTAAAATTATAAAGTTCAAAATATTAGATAAATTTAGTTAAAAATAATAAAAATGCGAGATACATGCATGTTCAATTTTACCTTTGTTTATAAAGAGAGTAGATGAGATATGGAATGAAAATTTATTATAGAGAAACAACAAATGACATATATTTATAAAAGTAAAAAGACAAGTCGAAAATTTCAGAGAAAGAAAATTTATTTTATATATTTAGAAATATTATTAGGAGTTAAAAAAATTTTATAAAAAGAGACTGAAATCGGGGAATATGTTTATAGAAAAAGACAAAGTTGTGCAAATGCCAAGAGTTGAAATTGAAAGATTTGGGGTGAACTGAAAACAAAATATGCCAACTTAAAAGCGTGAGGGAAAATGAAATAAGAACGGATTTAAATTTTGGAAAATAACAATTAAGATTTAAGGAGTCAGTTCCTTTACTGATCTTTTTCTCTTAAAAAAAAAAATATATATATATATATATAATGCATTAAAATGTCCCTATCATTGCTATGTTTGGAGTTTGGACAGCAAATAAATTTACCCCTAATTTTATTTCTGTACCTAACATCCCGATCTTTTTAATAAAATTTGTTATGATGCAATTTTACTTATAATCTCTTTTTCCGCAATTTTATTTCTAATCTTGTAGTGTAATTTTACCCATGAGGAACAAAGTTACATAAAAAAAATCATGAATAAATTGCACCACTAAAAAATATTGAGGTATTGGATGCACCTAAAAAATAAAATTATGAATAAATTTACACCTTTACCCAATAAAATTTAGTTATTTACTATGTTTTTTTAGTTCCATTTAATTTTGCTATCCAACTTTTATCTTTTCCGAGTACATTGAAACAAGATTTTAGATAATTTATCACTGAATTTTGAGTAGTTACTATTGAGCTTTCAATTTTTAAACTTTATGCTTTCACAACTAGGGAAAATGACACTTAAAAACCTTGAAAATTATTAAATCTTAAATTTGGATTCGTCATTATACTTTAACATATTTTAACAGCATTTTTTTGAACAAAAAATTTTAACAGCACTTAACTTATAAAAAATAACATATTTCTGTAAAAATTGTTGCTTTGAGATTTATTAATTTTCATGATCTTTTTCTGTCATTCACCCTTTCAATTAAGTAGAAATATTTTGGTCTATTATTTATATATTTTTTAAATAATTCTGGGAAAATGACTTGATTAGTGATTGTTATCCCAGAGTGTCCTCCTGGCAGGATATGCTTGGGTCTCTTAGAAGAAACGTGATAAAATCATATCGATATTAAAAAGAAAAAGTAGTTAAAATTATTGTTTATAATTAATATGTATAGAACTTGTGATACTTTTTTTCTAAATTACCATTGCCATTTTACTATAAGAACTTAATGTGCAGAGATAAAAATATTCCAATAAATGGGGGTATTATGATTAAAAATAATCAACGTAAGAGATGAAGGGAAATTAACTATTATATTTAGAATTGAGTTTCTCTTGTATATCTGAATGGTCTGGATTTATGTTTTTCTTTATGAAACAAATATTTTTATAGTTTAAAATTTAAAATAATGATAATCTATCAGACATCAATTTTTCAAAAATATAATTTTATTATTTAAAGATCATTAGCTAAAGTCTTAAATATGAACAGTTGAAGTTGTAGTTAGATGCTCTTCCTGTCCTTAATATAAGACTATTTAACTAATTTGATTAAATTAAAAAAATTAGATAAGTTAGTTAATTATAAAAAATATGATATATTTTTTCTGAACTACCATAATCATCTTTCTTAATATTCTTCGTTCTCTTTCTACTTGATTATATTTGAAAAAATATCAATAAGAGTAACTTAAAAAAATTAATGAATATGAGAAATATATCTTATATTTAGAATTATTTAATTAGTCAGAATTATATGATTAAAAGCCGGAAGAGTAATACATATCTCATCGTAACAATAAGCGTTATGATGGTAATGGTCACGAACTTATTTCTAAGGCTAAGTTAGAATTTTCAAATGCACTTTACGTCTGGAAGAATACATTGGAGACGAACCTGCCCCACGTATAACAAACATGTGCTTTTGAACAAGCTAATTAAGCTACTCTCTCTTTTTGAACTTTCATATATTACTCGACGTACATATTTATGAACCTTCCTATTTAATTTCCTTTAAATTATTGTTGTACATATATATTTGGAAGAACCATATGTTATCTAAAAATTGTTAATTCTAAGCTCGAGAATAGCCAAAACTATAGACCG